CAAACAATAGGAGTCAGTGATGTACTCACAGAATAGGCCCAGCTCACAGAGCAAAGTGGCTCCCATCCTCACATCCAGCAGTGACACGTCTGAAAACTTCTACAACTTTCTGTAAAGAGAGAGAGTGAAGCAGCAGCACAGCAGATACCAAAGAGCTGTGAAGGACACAAAGAGGTTTCTGCTTCTTTCCTTTTACACAGAAATAACAACTTCTGACCTCAGCAAGGTGGGGTTTCTTGGAAAATCTACCAAATAGTTACATACAAACTGGAAGAACACACGTTTGTAGTAGAATCCTAGGATTCAAATGAACAAAAAAAGGGAAATAAAGATCCCTATGAAGATTGTTTGTTTCCATCATGATTGCTGCCACATATAAAACACCAGGACAGGAACACATAATGTACCACACACAACCATAAATGCTTATGGTTGTTGTACAACCTACAAAAAACTTATGTAGGTTACATCATAGGCTTTACGAAGATTCACCAGAGAAATCTAAATCAGCCATTATTCACAGTGTCTACCATAAGGCAAAGTAAATGCACACATACCATATAAAGACTGAATGCACTGTATGCTGACATATGAAATTCACTTTGTCATAAACCATTACTAGCATCACATCACGTCTCATCTTTGCCTGCTAGCTTTGTTTGGTAGAAGCTTCATCACCAAAAAATAATTACCCTCACAAGCGTTTGCTGTTGGGTCATTGAGGTAACTCTACATTTGAAGTCTAAAAAAATACATATATTAGATGGGTTCAAACTGACATAGAGACATGACATAACTGCAGAGATAAAAAATATTAGCAAGCAAGACAACATACTTTTATTTCCCTCCTGTCATCGATGTGATCAACTAGTAGGCCACCTCTGCTACTTCGCAGTCATAAACTGCTGGTGCACTCTAATCACCAGCACACAAAATCATTACCAAACACAGAAGCTGTTCGTAATCCTGCACTTCTTAATGCAAGAGTTAAAACTATAACTAAAAATACTTCCCTTTTAATTTTAAGCTGAGCTTCATTGATGTAAAGTCTCCCACAAACATGAACTCTTTTATAGTTCAGTTGTAGTTTTTCATAAATTCATCCACAGGAAATGAGTTAGCTGAAGCAAAACAGAAATTGAGTCCTTAACCAGAAGTGAACACGAGGTGAATTCCTGCCCACTCTCTCAGCTTATCTCTGTGCCCATAAAAGTAGCTGTAACTGTTG